TCCTTTCAGTCCTGCTGAGGAGAGGTGGCGGCTACTCATCACACGAACCTGGGACACAGTTCGACGCGCAGGGCATGACGACTACGTCAATGGACTACCAGCCCTCGTGACAGCGACGAGGCTGAATTTGACACTCTCGTGTGATGGTGTTACGAGTTCATGGTTAGCAATGCTCGCTGAAAAGGTGAATCGTGCTTTGGCTAAATTGCAGAGGAGACAAGACATCCTTGTGAATGATGGTCTAACACGGGTCAATGTTGACGCTGCAATACCCCATGTGCAGAGCCTGTACGATGATCTGAATTGTATGGTCAATCAATGGAATACATCCCAACAGGACGATAGAATTTCGGGATCGTAATAGGCATATCCCCGTAGCGAAGTACTTTTACGCATTTGTTACGCACGTCGCAGTTCATTCCTATACATAGATAGCGCGCGGGATGTTATTTACTCACAGAATGGCTACGGCAAATTTTGCTTACCTTGTGCGCACTAGAATTGTAGTCCTGCTTTGTGTCAAGACGTCAGTAACCTTCGGTGAATGGCGCTGCTATCATGTTAGTTACTAAATATCACTTAAATAGCTTCCTTCCCCTATGGTAAATGGAGTTGAGCTAGACGTTGAGCAGAAGGCAGACTTCCATTCAAACTTTAAAAATACAGGGTGACTATGGGTACAGAGTCAATGCGTACAACAGTTGCAGAAAGACAGGCAAATGAAATCTATCACGCTCGTGTGACAGAGGGAGACATGGGAATGCTCTGTATATTCTGCGTCTTCGCCCTCGTAAGCCTGCAATTCGATGGATCGCATGAGCGGGCGCATCACAGCATGTAAAGGCCTGCTTACTCGTCAAAATGGGTGCCTCTCTTTGGATCAGCTCGTCTCTTGGCAAGTACTTTCCTGACCTTTCTCTCGGGGCGAACAACGATGATGGGCACGGGGGAATTCGAGAGGCAATACTTTGACACGCTACCCACACCTGGCGCGCCGAACGCCGCACCCCATGCTTGCATCATACCGCGCTGGCCTCTCGTACCCACCACGATTGAGTCTGGGCGGTACAGAGCAATTAACCGCTCGAGGGTTGTAGTGACTTTGCCAGCAATAAGCTCGACGATGATGGAAAGCTACAACAAACACAATGAGAAAATATGCCGTAATGGTAGCGACCACCTACCTTCCGCTCTGGATCGTACTCGATACATTTCTCTTGAATCTGGCGCATAAGTTCGCGGGCTTCTTCTCGAACGACTTCATGATCCTTCTCTAAGTTGCGACTCAACATTCCCTGAGGTCTGGATAGTATCAGCCACCTACCTAAATCCTCTGGATCGACGCCTCTGAAGACAATCAACTCGTCCCCGTCCTGCACCAAGCTCTCTAGCGCCCAGTCAAGGGCGTAACGTCCGCTCTCATCTGGGCTTGACGCACAAAGAAATACCCTCGTCGCTCTGTTCCTAGCGTATCCATCTGATTGCACGTGCAGTGTGAATGAGAACATGGAAGCAGCAGGATTTTCGAATGTGTCGAACGACACTTTTGGCGTGTAACCCTGTCCCGCGACAGATTGAGCCACGTTCTGCTGCATTTTGACTGACGGGGACCGGGAGAGCGACATTGAAGAGGACGAGTGAGGTGGCAGTCGCGATGTTGATGCTGGTAGAGTAAGGAACGAAGAAGGAAGAGGGGACAATGGTGGCGGCGGCGTCGGCATGGAGGATAACGGAAGCAAACAGGGTGAGCCCGGCTGGGACGACTGCTTTAGTGCCGAGCGTAAGCATATGATTGGAATATGAGTGTGCTGTTCAGTCATGGCGTTACCTGACAAAAAGATTATTTATTAATTTTCTTAATAATTTAGTTGTCATACAATTAAACGCACCAAAAATAATAATCACGTTATTAACTCTCACCTGACTTTGATCTCCAACTCTCATGTCGACTTCCCGTTCAGCTAGTCCTACAGAGGAGGAAGATAAAGAGCAGGTTGAGCAGCGCACGGAGGTGACACCCGAGTCCACTGGCGAGTCACCCTCCCCAGAGGAGTCTGCTGAACCTTCAGATACAGACCAGGATACTACAACCGCTCATGCTTGCCTCCCAACAGCGGGATCATGGCAAGCCATATGGTCTCCTCAGCACAACACCTACTATTTCTACAACTCAGAAACCAAAGAAACGACTTGGGTAAACCCCCTTCAACCTGCTACCTCTGAATCAGAACCTTCCTCGTCTTCCACCTCCCAATCTGGCCCTTCCACAACGATAGACTCTCACTACGCAGAGCTGCAAGCGAACGCGATGGCGCAGGGTATTGATCCATCCTTAGCCCATCTTGATCCGTCGCTTGCTTCCTCGTCTGGTGTTCCTAGCAATTTTATGTACACCGCAAAGTTTAATGCGAGGACTGGCGCTTTTGCGAAGGCGGATAGTCGCGATCCTACTCACTTGTCAGAGTATGAACGTGCTAAGCGCATGAGCGAGTTCTACTTTGACGTTGGTGCTTGGGAGAGGGATGTCGAGGCTCGCAACAGAGCTGAGATTGAGGCTGAAGGAGATGGCAAGAAGAGAAAACGTCCGACGAAGAAAGACCTGGTAAGATCCTAGATGTCGATTCTGTTCATATCGGGTGTTGATTTTAATTTTACAGGAGCGGTTCAAGGAACAGAAGAGATTAAAGAAGATCGCGAAGACGGCATGGCTTCGAACATAGGCACCCACTGTCATATTAGAACAAGAATTCAAAGCAGTTTGGCAGTAGTAATGTCCTTAGTTGTATAAGTATAAAGAAAAGTCGTCAACCAGATTGTCAATTCAATAGTACAATCATCTTGAGGTCTATAGTGATAACTAATTACTAATAGCTACCACCTACGTTAGCGTCCATAGGTATGTCCATTATTTTGCCTCATTTGTGACGATGCCCTACGTCGCAAATACGCCAATGATTTTGAAAGGAGGAACAGTTTGCCCCTCATCTCCAAGTAGCACACAATCAACGTAGTGCGATCCTCTCGTGACATATTGATCAATCATCTCAAGACTTGACGATCTATTAATGACCGCACACAAACGAAAATAAAATAAGACACTCACGTCGGCACTCCGTCACTAATGCCTCCTGCATTTTCTATGATCACGCCACCTGCAAAATTATCATCTACCCAACATTCAATCTGACTTCCCTCCCCAATCCGGCTCACGGGCTCCTTCAAGAAATAAATCCCGACATCTCCAGCGCCTACTTTGATAGGTACGCGCAGCCTGCTCGTAGGCAACGAGCTATACCAATAATATCCAGCCGTAAGCAAAGGAGAGGACCCTGCCGGGGGATGCGCTGCTGCCCAACCAGACCCGTAGAAAAGCGACGGGGGTACGGGATTTACAAGGTCATTAGCAGATGCGCAAAACGGTGCGACTTCTTCGAATGGCCGCGTCTGTTTGGGACGTGTATCAATTCGAACAGGAGGAATTCGCAGGTCGGGGTAGATGGGCACAAGCTGAGATTCTGTAAGAGCTAGTGCGTGTTTCTTCTCAGCTTCCGCACCATCATCTACCGGGCGTGGTGGTTCAGGCACTGCAGCACCTTTCCTTGCGCCGACGCCGCCGAAGAGATGCGTATCTGCACCTGGGAGGTAACCTTGTGACATCATGATAGGAACGCCGTCGTACGAGTGGCCACCAGCCGTTGACCACGCGGCACATATCTGAGATTGGAAGTACGATATAAGAACGTCGGTGAGAAGTTCATGGCCTTTCGGAGTCGCAAGGATAGGATCCGCAAAGTAAGGTTTGATGAGGTCAGGGTTTGACATGTAAGACGGATATAGTATAGGTTTAATGCTTTATATAGGCGTCAGACAATATTCTTTTGTCAAGTGATGAGATTATACCTAATATGCGGCACGTCATAGAATTGTGCGACGATATTGTGCCAATGATCAGGTCCTGCAAATCCATATACCAGGTGTGTCTGTGCGCTAAAATGCCCCAGAATGATGACTGCAGGTTGCTCAGGGCGATCCAATATCGAGCGAACCAATAACTCAAAATGTTCCATCCCATACCGAGTACTGGCAGAATTTAGACACTGCATAATACTTCAGCTGCAAATCTGTGCTTACCCTTCATCGTCGACGTCAAATTCGAGTATCACCAAGTCGGTGTTCTCTGGGATATGATGTGAGCTACAAAATCCAAAGTACCCTGAGTTTGTTCGCCTCATGGCACCATTGGTAAGCTCTGAAGCCGGGTGAGGGAAAACGCTCGACCACCACTGGAAAAAGCGTGAAGGATAGCAACTAGGAGACAACGGATCATCTCCTGCCGCATGACATGCAGACACTACACAACCGCATCATCGAGATGAGTTCCTTTACGAAACAAAGAACAAACACGCACCAGATCCACCAAGCACACTGATAGTCACAGGTTGACCCAAAAGTGCTTTATGAATAACCCGATGCACCCTCCCCCCACTCCCTAAATGCAACCGACTCTGCGCTAACGGTACCACTCCATACTTCTTCGCAATCTCATCCTTGGGCCCAAATACAGGACAAAAGTCAAACGGGTTCGCAGCCTCGGATGAATTGCCGATAAGGTAGTTCGCATCATGCAGGTAATTCTTTGGTACGAGGCCCTCTGTCGTAAATGACACAGCGTTCGTATGGTTTGAAAAGGATATAAACCGTGATAGCGCAATGAGTAGGACGAATCCGAGGATGATGGCCCATATTCTATGGGTGATGCCTAGCACCCTTTGATTCCACCTGTTAATGTGTTTAGTAGAATCTGAGCCCATGGCCGTCAATCGGCGCTGATTGGGAGGGGAGATGCGTGCCAGACCCTTCCCAGAGCCTGAGCGTCGTTGCATAAAATCGTTGAGACAAAAAAGAAAAATACCGTTAAAGCTGCCAAAATACGGAGGAAGATGTCAACGACTCGTACTTAACTCCGCATTTAGGGTTGTTAGGTATGAAAAAGAAAATAATGGACACTGTGGGAGTTGAACCCACGACCTCACGCAATCTAGACCCAGAGGATGTGCGAAGCGTGCGCGCTACCAACTGTGCCAAGTGCCCTTGATCATGCTTTGGTTTGTATAACATGTCGAGCAGGTTAGTCTATCTAAGGGCAATAACTAGTACTGGAATTGCCCTGCTCGCCGAAGATGAGGTGATTGTAAAGGTACCCGTGATTCTTACCCCTGGCCTGGATCACTCATCGTAACGACTTAACATAGCTAATCTTAGTATGGGTAATGTTTCAGGTCAAGAAAGGTGATAACAAGCCAACTGCCGTGGGGAGAAGCACTCCACAGAATCGTTTTACGTCTCTAGCGCACATGCCTCCGTAGGGATACATCGTGCAAACCAATTAAACTCGACGCAATCAACAAATTAAGCTACCCAGATGTCCATATCATGTCCGAACGATTATAACTCGCTCATCTCCCTGTGATGTTTCACCTTCACAGAATCCTCATGCTGCGAACGGTCGGGTACGCGCTCCCAGATGGGATCTACATCGGGACCATCTATATCACCTGCCCCGTCCCAACCCCAACACCATACTGAACGATTTGTGAGTCAAGTGATAGAATATAAAGAGTAATACATACCATGCGAAGGCCCGGGCATAAATTCGATCTCTTCACTTTCCTCCGGCGTGAACAAACGGTCATGAGGACCAAACCACGACCTGTCCTGTGGATCTGTCCGCGGATTGTCCGGAAGTCCCCCAAGACGCACATAATTCCGGATGGCAGTGAGGTTCCGTCTTGAAGGATGTATGATATCAAATACTCTCTGCAAGAAAAATCAATCAATCCATCAGATATCCAATTCAGTCAAAAACATACTCTATCATACGCAAGCTTCACCCGCGGTACCATCAAGATACGTCCATATCCAGCCTCCCAGTAATCATTACAGATCAAACTACACTCTGAAGCAGAACACTCCTCTTCCATAAGTCGAGCCATGCGGAATTTGATATATGGAGGAGTATAAAATGGAGCAGGATCCAGGATCGCAATGCCATTCCAACACGACTGCACTTGTATGGGAAGGTGCATTTGGAAACGCTCAGAGGAGTAAGGATCATGAAAGACGTTTTCGAATGGGGCATTTTCCAGCGCTGTTCCGTTGATATCGCGAGCGACCCAGTTATCATAGAACACGGGGGAAGACTATACACAAAAGCAAAGAATGAGCTCAGGCCGTGATTGCAATAATGGGACTTACCAGTCCTGGATGATACATGTAGTCCGAAGCGCAAGTTATACCTGCATTATTCCGCCGACTCTGCCAAATAAGTTCAAGTAAGTCATCCACGCATGGGAGAATATCGTTCATAAATATGATGGTATCAAAGTACTCGTTATGTGAGTCACGGAGCTCGTGGAGTGGGTTAAATGCCTGGTTGCGGACCTCTGCAAGGTATTCTATACGATGGTTGAAGGCACCTCGTGTACGTGTAGATGTCCGAATGGTGACACGCAGACCTACGCTACGAGTCAGTGCGTCGAATATCCGTAGCAGCGCCTTCGTCTGGTCCGTCGATCCATTTTCGTATATGGAGACGTAGACATTATGGTACCCTAAAATGGCAGAGACCCGAAAAAGAGTCGCAAATAAGTCAGGAATGATATCGAAGGAGTTGTACAAGTTAATGGCGAAAAAATATTTGTGCTCTTTTTCTGGAACGTTATGTACGTGTTGGGAGTCGGAAAGCCCCCAGGAAGAGAACCAGGTGGATTTAGAGGGTGTTGCGTGTCCGATGAGAGAGTCGTAACGGTCTCGGACCTGTTGAACGTAAAGCGGCTGGGAATTTCGTGTACATTCTGTGGTATGATGAGGAGTCAACGTGGAGAGCAGGTCTAGGACACGACGGCGCTGATCGATGCTGGGAAGGGTTATTTGTTTGCGAGCAGACAAGCGAGACACGAATATTGGGTTGTTCCCGCCAGTTGACAAGAGCTACAAAACAATCACACGTCGTTATAGCAGTGAGACGGTCAAAGTATATAGACATACGCTGGTTGGAAGTGTCTTGCCAATTAGCAAGCCTAGTAACAACCCAACTACGAGTGCCAAAGGAGTGGGCACTCGTTTTAACTGTAGCCAAAATGTGTTTTGTTGCATGCCAGTGGACGTAGGAGGTACACGGTGAAGAATATTAGACCCAGTGCACAGATCAACTTGAAAAGGCTCAATTCGAGTCAATCGTCTATGAAAAGGGGCGTAGGCTTGGCGACAATTTCTTGTGATCTGCAGAAGAAGGCCAGCCTTGGAGCTTGGTGGGTGATGACGGTCTGAAGTACGCAAGCTCAACTTCAAATTGAGTCGGAGGCGAGTAAGACTGGGCGCTTGCGCGCATAAATTAAATAAATTCCCTAACATGGCGTCCAATTACCAGCCCCAAACCCTCAAAGACAGAGTTTAACTACGTAGATAGCTATATAGCCCCATAAATCCCTCCTCCAATCGAACCGTATGCAAGAATCAATCAGGTAATCGTGAGTTTAATGCTCAACGTCAGCCTTCGAAATGCGGTGACCAGGATTATCAAGTCCCAATGCGCAAAAAGAATGCGAAAGATAATGACAGTGAAATGACGGATTTATAATGATGCCGCGAGGATGGCAAATGCCGCCGCACCAGTGAGTATGTTAAGACTATGCGATGATGCAGCGTTGGAGGACCTGAATTTCGTTGAGTTTTTAATCATAGGAAAATAAAATGAAAGAAAGACTGACGAGGGCTTGGCTGCAACGGTACCATTGGATGATGGGGTAGCCGATGCAGTAGCGCTGCTAGTGGTCAATGTGACGCCCTGCATTATAAACTTTAGCACACATTCAAAAAAACAAGGATATCTACAACATACCACTGCAGCACAAAGCGATTGGGAAGCTGCTTCGGCATTTGCGAGGTCAGACCCCGTGCATGATGCCTGGATACAGGTCGTGGTGCTGTTGATGAAAGCCTGGCTATGGCAAAGACAGCTGTCGTCGGTTTCAGAACAGTTGCCAAAGTCAGCATTTGTCAGACACGGAACAGCACAATCTGATGACGAAAAGCTATCAGATACCATGGTAAGATGACAAAGAGATAATGCATACTGGGCATGCTTTGACGTGTAACCAATGCCGCAAACGCGGACGAAACAGCAAAGGAGAGAGCAAGAACGACGACAGCAAAGCGCATTGTGAATTGGGTGAAAGAGTGTGAAGGAAGAAGACCTGGTGAACAAGGAGAATTCGAAGAGACCTTATAAAAAGTTACAGATAATGTACATGACAACAAAACAGACAAGGAGAACAAAGGAACATGTAAATCCAGACAGGATGCATAATGCTTTATCCTACATCAGTATTTTTAGCGCTCGATTTACACACACTCCATTGTTGGAAATATCACGTGATTCGGCCATAACCGAAAAACTATCAAGCACCTCAGCCACTCAAACCTTATGTCATCACTATTGAGTAACCAAACACAACCAAAGTCAGTGCGACATCTGCAGTTCCAGTTAGACGAGCTCGTCACACTATACATCCTCAAGACATGGTAAGCTTACATCTTCCTTCTACCTTTCGAGTAGATGATTCAATCCCTTTGTAGGCCAGGACAAAAAGCGGTAAAGTATGTTGCACGTTGACCGTCACCCGTGATAGATCTTTACATCTTATCATAGACTGGCGGCAAGCGCTCCGCTCTTCAAGACGTTGTAACTCGTGAATACACCATCCATCTGCACAAACTTGTGCATGGCCGCTCCTTCAAAAAGCGTGCCCCTTGGGCCGTAAAATCCGTCGTCGATTTCGCGCGCAAGTCGATGGGCACAACCGATGTTCGCTTGGACCCCAAACTCAACCAGGCATTGTGGGCTCGGGGTGTCAAGAGCGTCCCCCACCGGATAAGAGTAAAGCTTGAGCGTACGTGCTGTATTTTAAATTTTATTATAATGCTGACGACCTTTCGACAGGCAAGCGTAATGATGATGAGGGCGCAAAGGAGAAACTTTACACATATGCCAGCCATGTAGTAGTGACTTCATTCAAGGTGTGTATTCTTCCTATTTCTCCTGTCCTCAACAACAACCTATTCTCGTCCAGGGTCTTCAAACCGCTGTTGTAGACGCAGAGTAAGGCTGTCGTCGGAAGGTCCTGTGTAGTCTTTTTTTCACATATTTCATGCCGTCATGCATCATCACACCCAGCACTATGCTACTCCGTCAAAACTCTCGCGCACCTTGATGTTGTCCATGAATTGAGTTCCTCTGAAACATTTTAAGCTATGCCATGATCCTGCGTTGGCCTTGAAAAAATACAATCCGAGGTGTGCTAGTTTATCTGAAGCAAACGGGTGGTTCATACTGATAGGTAGTGGATATGTAGTCACGTGTGATTCAGGAGATTGATCTCCTATTCTGAATGTGAATTAAGCCTTGCGAGAACGTCGGTTAATGCATTATCCTTTGCTCGTTCAGACGTGTCTTGTATCGATCTGCAGGCTGACATGGCTCGGCCCCGGACTACATACCCAGCTATTATTCATCGGCTGCCAGCAGAACTTCTACAGACTATATTCTTACTCGTCATCAATGACGGCCCAGACTGTGTCAGCAAACTTTGTTGACCCCCCCCTACTCTTCACTAGGGTGTGCTGCCATTGGCGAGATGTTGCACACTCAATGCCAGAGATCTGGTCGCGCATAAAGGTCATGCTTCCTGGACCACTCCCCAAACCACTTAGGAAGTTATTTTCTTCCTTACTTCAGTCTTGGCTCGCCTGGCCTGGCAATCTACCTCTTACCATTTGCATAGAACACCCATTTGCCGTCTCAGACCTGTCCTGATAGGGATTCGAGTCCTCGACTACTCAAGATTCTTTATGATGAGACGAGGCGTTGGGAAACAGTGCTTCACTACCCATCCCACTTGTTGAGAAATGACACGAATACGCCCCGGCTGAGAACGTTAGAAGAGCTCTGGGACTTGTCAGATCTCACCAAATTTAATGCACCAAATCTCTGTCGCCTAGGTATCATTTGTTCACCGCAGCCCGACATCCAA